AGCTTAAAATTGATAATTAGAACTTGATAATTTAATAATTAACTATTTGATTTATGAAAAAGCTGGCATCGCAGGGAGCTTACATTTTTTTTTATAGCAAATCTAAGTAAATGTATTCATTTAAAATTAGCTGGCAAAATCTAAACATGGAGAAAATTATTTTTTACTCATTCATTAAAACTCTGAATTAAATAATGCATGTGAAAGTTAAAATTGGGTAATTTAAAGAAACTTGAAAAAATTTTTATTATTAAATATACTATTTCTAATAACTTTTTTCATTTAATTAGTTTATAAAAATATATATACGAAAAAAAACGTTTAAAACTTAACCATTTGCGCGCTGATAGCAGCAACAATGGTGTAATATACCCATTAAATTAAACAAAATACGTTAAATATGTCCAATTTTTTTTAAACGTTTTTTTATTTACTTACTATTATATTTATAATGTTGTAGCCTTAAATCATTAGTGCGAATACCTATATATATATAATATTGTATATAAATTAAATTAATATTTAGTATAGTAGATTAACATTTTTGAAAATTCTAAAATATTAAATGAACCTATTAATTTGAAAACGTAAAGCAAATTTATACGATGCCTATTATTTTTGAAAACATTTTAATTCCTTTAAGTAATTATCAATCTATAAACTTTGTAATACATTTTAGATATCCTTTTTCATGCCCCAACCGACTTCCTTAAGTTCATAATCTGAAGCTAAAACCTGCATACTCTAGAGAACTGAATCGGTTTCTTTCCGCATGACCTTTGAGCAATTACCGATCAGAAAAAAATAAACTCTTAATAAAATGAAAACGGAAAATAAATAAGTATATATAATGGTCTCAACCCTTCTATATCCAAAGTTGTTCCCCACGTTTTTCTACTTTCCCCGTTACCCAAATTTTACTCCCTTTTAAAATGAAAAACTAATTTGAAAAATTTTAACTTTCGTCTCCCCCACAATTTACGTCATTTAATTTAAATATATTTAAAACTAAAAATAGAGAAATGGAATCTTTCGCTAATTTTAAAGTAGTTGATTTGTAGATTCATTAGGTGCTTTTATACTGGTGACGTGAAAAATGCTCTCTGCCCCCCACCAACCCCACCCCACCCCCCACCCCCCCAACCCCCCCCCACCAAACCACCAACCCCACCCCCAACCCCACCCCCCCCCGACCCCCCCCCACCCCCCCCCCCCCCCCCGCCACCGCCCCCCCCCCCCCCCCCCCCCCCCCAACCACCTTCACCCCCCACCACACCCCTCCCCCCCCCACACCCCCCACCCCAATCCCCCCCACACCACCCCCCCCCCCATCCCCCAACTACACCCCCCCTCCCCCCACCCCCCCCCCCCCCCCACACTCCCCCACTTCCCCCACCCCCACCCTACCCCCGCCCAACCGGCCGCACACCTCTCTCTCCGCTTCCCCATCCCCCCCCCATCCCTCCCCCCCCCCCCCCCCCCCCCCCCCCCCCCCCCCCCCCCCCCCCCCCCCCCCCCCCCCCCCCCCCCCGCCCCCCCCCCCCCTTCCTTTCCCCTCTTTCCCCCCCCTTTTCTCCCCCTCCCCACCCCCCCCCACCCCCCCCCTCCCCCCCCCCCTCCCCCACCCCCACCACCCCCCCCCACCCCCATCCCCCCCCGCCGCACACGCCCCACACCCCCCCCCACCACCCAACCCCCTCCCACCCTCTCCCCGCACCCCCCCCACCCTCCCCCCCCCCCCCCCCCCCCCCACCGCCCCCCCCCCCCCCCCCCCCCCCCCCCCCCACCCCCCCCCTCCCCCCCCCACCCCCCCCCTCCCCACCCCCCCCATCCACCCCCCCCCCACCCCCCCCCCCCCACCCCCCACCCCCCCCACACCTCCCCCCCCCCCCCTCCCCCCCCCACCCCCCACCACCCTCCTCCTCCTGTCTCCCCCTCCCCCTCTCTCCCCCCCCCTACCCCTCCCTCCCCCGCTCCCCCCCACCCTTTCCCACCGCCCCCCCTTCATCGCCCACCCCCCCCCCCCCCACGCCCTCCCCCCCCCCCTCACCCCCCCCCCCCGCTCCCCCCCCCTCCCCCCCCCCCCCCCACTCCCCCCCCCCCGTCTACTCGCTTCATCCCGCGTCGTCCCTCCCTCACCGCCTCCCCCTCCCCCCTCCCCTACCCCCCCGCCCCGTCCCCGCCCACTCGCCCCCCCGCCCCCCGCCAGCCCCTCACTCCCCTTTCCCCCCCGGTCCCAACCTCGTCCCCCTCCCCCCCTCCCTCCACCCCACCCCCCCCCCCCCTTACCCCCCCCCCCCCACCCGCCCTCCCCGCCCCCCCCTCCTCTCCTCCCTCCCCCCTCCCCCTCCCGCTCCCCCCCCCCCCCCCCCCCAGGCCCCGTACGCCCCCCCCCGTGGACGCCGCCCCCCCCCATCCGCCCCCGCGGGCCACCGCCCCCCCCTATCACCTTCCCGCTTCGCGCGCGCTTCTGTCATCCGCCCCCTCCCACGACCCTCGCCTTCGCCCCCCCCCCACCCGTTCTCCCCACCACGCGCCCCTCCAGCCTCTCTCCCTCCTCACCCCCCTCTTCTCCGCCCCCCCGTGTCCTTCCCCCTCCGTGTCCACCCCGTCCTCTCACCCTCTCTCTCCCCTCCCCATCTCTCTCCCCTCTCCCCGTCGCCCCCCCCCCCCTTCTCCGCCCCCCTCTCTTCACCGCCACCTTGCCCCCACAACCCCGTTTCTCCTCTACCCTCATCCGGCCTCTCCCCCCCCCCCCACCCCGCCGCCGTCACACCCCCCCTCTCCCTCCCGCTCGTGGCCCCACCCTCCCCCCCTCGCCCCCTCCCCCTCCCCCCACTCCCCCTCTCCTTCGCGCTGATAGTAGTTTGTCGAGTCTGTCCTCCCGTCAAGTCCACGCCTCCTCCGCTCGTTGCCCCCCCTATCCGCGCGCTCCCCCCCCCTCTTTTCCCCCCCCCTCCCCCCTCCCCCCTCCCGCCCTCAACGCCCCCCTTTCCTCTCGTCCCCGCCCCCCCCCCATGTCCTATAGTCCGCCCACGCCTTCCTCCCCGCCATCCCGCTCGCCAGCCTCCGCCTTCCTTTCCCCCTCCCGCCCTCCCCCTCTCTGCCCCTCCGCCTTTCTTCCCCCGGCTCCACTCCGCGGCCCTCCACGCCCTCTCCTTCCGATCCCGCTCTCTCCCTTCGTCTTTTTTTCGGCGCACCCTTCCCCTCCCCCTTGCACGCGCCTCGTTGTCCTCTGGGTGCCCTCTCCCTTCCTCCCCCCCCCTTTCCTCGCACCTCCGTCCCCGTCTTCCCCCACTGCGCCCGAGCTTCCCTCGGCTCTCCTTTTATTCGCTCACGGGTCCCCTGCCCGCTCTTTTCGCCCGGTGCGCCAGCCCCCCACGTCTCCCGACCTCCTCCCCCAACCTTCCCTCCCTCTCTCTTTCTCCTGGCTCCCCCCTCTCCCCTTCCCCCTCGCAGATTCCCCTACCCTACTCGTTCCCCCGCCCCCACATGTCCTTCTTCTCGTGACTCACGCCCCCCCACTCCGCTTCCCTGGTACTGTCCTCACTTTGATTTCCTCTCCTCCTCCGCCTTTCCCCTCCCCTCGTTTCCCTCCCCTCCCTCCTCCCCCCCCTCCCGGATTTTCCGCCCCACCCCCCCCCCTGCCACCCCGCCCCCCCCCCCCCCCCCCCCCACCCCCACCCCCCCCCCCCCCCCCCCCCCCCCCCCCCCCCCCCCCCCCCCCCCCCCCCCCCCCCCCCCTCCCCACACCCCCCCCCCCGCCCCCCCCCCCCCCCCCCCCCCCTCCCCCGGCCCCCCCACCCCCCCCCCCCCCCCCCCCCCCCCCCCCCCACCCCCCCCCACCCCCCCCCCCCCACCCACCCCCCCACCCCACCACCCCCCCCCCCCACACACCCACACCCCCCCACCCCAGCCCACATTCCCCAACCCCCCCCCCCTACCCCCACCCCCCCCCCCCCCCCCCGCCCCACCCCCCCCCTGACCCCCACCCACCGACCTCCCACCCCCACCCCCCCCACCCCGCCCCCCACCCCCACCCACACCCTCCCGCCACCCCCCCCTCCCACCCTCCCCCCTCCACCCCCACCCCCGCCCCCCCCAACCCCCCCAACCCCCCCCCCCCCCCTGCCTCCCCCCCCCCCCCCACCCCCCCCCACCCCCACCCCCCCCCCCCCCCCACTCCCCCCCCCCCCACCCCCCCCGCCCACACGCCCTCCCCAAACCCCTCCCCCTCCTCCCCAACACCCCCCCCCCACCCCACCACAACCCCACCCCCGCTACCCCCCACACCCCCTCCCCCCCACCCCCCCCCCCCCCCCCCACCCCCACCCCCCCCCACCCCCTCCCCCACCCACTACTCCCCTCACACCCCACCCCCCCCTCCCCACCCCCCCCCCCCCGCCCGCCCCCACCCCCCACCCCCCCCACCCCATCCCCCCCAGCCCCCCCACCCCCGCCCCCCCCGCCCCCCCCCGCGCCCACCCCCCCCCCCCCCCCGCCCCCCCCCCCCCCCCCCCCACCACCCAGCACCGCTCGCCCGCGTGCCCCCCCCGCAGGCCCACCACCCCCCCTCCCCCCCTCCCCCCCCCCCCCCCCCCCCCCCCCCCCCCCCCGCCCACCCCCTCACCCCCCCCCACCCACCACCCACTCCCACCCACCTTCTCCCCCCCCACCCCCACCCCCCCCCACCACTCCACCCCCCCCCCCCCCCCCACCCACTTCCCCCCCCACCAACGCCCCCACCACGCCCGCCCCACCACCCCCCCAATCTCCCCCCCCCCCCCCACCCCCCCAAAACCCCCCCCCCCCCCCCACCACCCCCCTGCTCCCCCCCCCCCCCCCCCCCCCCCCCCCCCCGCACGCCAACCCCCCATACCGCCACCCCTTCCACTCCCCCCCCCCCCCCTCCTCGATCCCCCCCACCCCCCCCCCCCCCCCCCCACCTCCCGACCCACCTCCCCCCGTCGCCCATCTCCCCCCCCCCCCCCCCCCCCCACCTCCCCTCCTCGCCAGTCGCCTCCCCCCACCCCCCCCCCCCCCTCCCCCCCTCCCCCGCCGCGGCCCAACCGCCCCACCTTCCCCCCAGCCCTCCCCCCCCCCCCCCGCCACCCACCTCCCCCCCCCCCCCGCCGCACACCCCCCCCCCCACTCTCCCACGCACCGACCCCCGCCCCCTGCCCCGCACCCTTACCGCCCCCGTTCCACCCGCCCCCTCCACCTCCCCGCCCCCACCCCCTCCGCCACCCTTCCACCCCCCCCCCCCCCCCACACCCCCCCGCTCCCCACCCCCCCCCACCCCCGCCACCCCCCCCGCCCCTAGACGTCCCCCCCCCCTCCTACAAACCCCCCTTACCGTTTGTCATTCCTTTCGTCTCGTCTCCCCGCCCCCCCCTCCACCTGTCCCCCCCCGCCCCCTCCCTGCGTCCCTGCACCGCCTCGCCCGTCCCCCTCGCCCCCTACCTTCCACCCCCCCCCCCCCCACCCTTCCCCCGCCCCAGACCTCCCCCGCGCCTTGCCACCCGCTCCGCCCCACCCCTGCCCACTTCCATCCCCACCCTTCCCCCCCCCTGCTTCCCCCCCTCCCCGCGCCCCGCGTCTGTCGCCGCCCCGCCGCCCCGCACCCCCCTCCCCCCTCGCACCCCCCCCCCACGACCCCCCTCCCCGGCCTCCTACCCCCCCCCTCTTCCTCACCGCCCCCCTGACCGACCCCTTCCTCTTTCCTCTCCCCGTCCCGCCCCCTCATCCCCCCCTCCTCTCGACCTCCGGTCCCTCCTCTACTCTTCCCGCTCTTCCCCGCCTTCGCGCTCCCGACCCCCCCGTCGGCCCCCCCCCCGCCCCGCTCCCCGCCCCCCCTCCTCCCGCACCCCGCCCTCCCGCCGCGCTCTCTCCCTCCCCCCCCAACTCCCTCCTCTTGTCGCCCCCTCCCCCCTCCCCCCCTCCCTCGTCTGTCCTTCCCGCGCTGTTCCTCTTCTGCCCCCCCTTCCCCCTACCTCTTCGTCTCCCCCCTTTACACGCCCGGCTCCTTCCCTCTTCCACCCTCCCTTTCTTCCTCCAGCCCTACCCAGTCGGCCCTCCCCTCCTCCCCCACCCCCTTCCCTCCCCCGCTTCCGCTCCCCTCCCCATCCCTTTCCCCCTTGCACCCCCTCTCCGCGCCCAACTTCCCTCCCACCCATCATATCCACGCTTGTCCCCGTGCCCCCTCCTCCCCCTCTCTCCCTTATCCGGCTTCCCTCGCTGCCCCTGTCTCCCCCCATACCTCTCTCCGTCGGGGGAGTGTGTTCCCCCCTCCCGGTCCTCCCTCCCTCGCCCCTCCTTTGTCCTGCCCCTTCCCTACTGCCTCCCCTCCCCTACCCTCGACTCTTGTCTCCTGCCCCTCCTCTCGCCGCCCCCCCGCCTCCCCCCTCTCTCCAGCGCCCCCCGTCAGGCGCTTCTAACCACCCTCCGGTCGTCGCGCCCCGCCCCCCCTCCCCACCGTCTCCTCTCCCCGCTTCTCGCTTCCGCCCCTCGCTCCCCTCCCCTCTCTCTCTGCCCTCTGCTTTCTTCCCCGTCCCGTCCCGCCGGCCCCCTCCCTTCCCCCCCATTTCCCTTCCTCATCGTTCGCTCTCCTCCTTCTTAATCCTTTCTGTCCTCTTCCATCACCCCCTCTTATTCCGCCCTGCTCCCCTCTCCCTCCCCACTCCCCCCCTCCTCCCATTGTTCCTCTTCTCTACCCCCTGCGCGTCCACTTACTCTTCCCACCCCCCTACCCTCTCCCCCTCTCCTCGCGCCTCTTCCTGGAACGTCCTGCCGTTTCCATTGCGCCCCTCCACCCTTGCTCGTCCCCTTCCCGCTGTCCTCCTCTTTCCGCCTCTCTATCCTCCGTTCTCGCTCCCTCTTCGTCCCATCCTCTATAGGTCTCCGTCTTCTGCCGTCTATGCCTCCCATCCTCCGTCTCTGTCAATCCTCCATCCTCGGTTCTCTCTTTCTCCCCAACCCCCTTCGCCTCTTCCCCGCTCTGTGCCCGACTTCGCCCGACGTCCCCCCCTCTCCGTACCTTCTTGCTTCTCCCTCCCCGCTCCACTCACTTCACCCGTCCCCCTCATCTGCCCCCCTCTTCCACTGCCCGCATCCCCTCTGCCCCCTCGTCCGCCCCCCCTCCCTCACCCTTTTCGCCCTTGTCCGTCCGCCCACCTTCTCCCCTTCCTCTTTCCTCTCCCCCCCCAACGTCCCTCCCTTCCTTCGCCGGCCCTCCTTCCCTGCCTTTTCCTCTCTTTCCCTCTCCCTCGCCATCTGCCCCCCCTCCCCTCCCCAGTCCTTCCCTCCGCCTTCTCCTTTTTTCCCTCTCCCCCGTCTCTTCCCGCTACCTCACGCCCTCCACCTCCCCCCCCCCCCCCCCCCCCCTCCGCCCCTTCCTCCCCCCTTCCCCCCCCCTCTCCCCCCCCCCCCCCCACCCCCCCCCCCCCCCCCCCCCCCCCCCCCCCCCCTCCCCCCCCCCCTCCCCCCCCCACCCCCCCCCCCCCCCCCCCCCCCCCCCCCCCCCCCCCCCCCCCCCCCCCCCCCCCCCCCCCCCCCCCTCCCCCCCCCCCCCCCCCCCCCCCCCCCCCCCCCCTTCCCCCCCCCCCCCCCCCCCCCCCCCCCCCCCCCCCCCCCCCCCCCCCCCCCCCCCCCCTCCCCCCCCCCCCCCCTCCCCCCCCCCCCCCCCCCCCCCCCCCCCCCCCCCCCCCCCCCCCCCCCCCCCCCCCACCCCCCCCCACCCCCCCCCCCCCCCCCCCCCCCCCCCCACCCCCCCCCCCCCCCACCCCCCCCCCCCCCCCCCCCCCAACCCCCCCCCCCCCCCCCCCCCCCCCCCCCCCCCCCCCCCCCCACCCCCCCACCCCCCCCCCCCCCCCCCCCCCCCCCCCCCTCCGCCACCCCCCCCCCCCCCCCCCCCCCCCCCCCCCCCCCCCCCCCCCCCCCCCCCCCCCCCACCCCCCCCCCCCCCCCCCCACCGCCCCCCCCTGGACCCCCCCCCCCCCCCCCCCCCCCCACCCCCCCCCACCCCCCCCCCCCCCCCCCCTCCCCCCCCCCCGCCCCCCCCCCCCCCCCGCCCTCCCCCCCCCCCCTCCCCCCCCCCCCCCCCCCGTACCCCCCCCCACCCCCCCCCCCCCCCCCCCCCACCCCCCCCCCCCCACCCCCCCCCCCCCCCCCCCCCCCCCCCCCCACCCCCCCACACCTCCACTCCCCGCCACTCACCAGCACCCCCCCCCCCTCCCCCTCACCACGCCCCCTCCCCCCCTCCCCCAAACCCCCCCGCCTCCCAACACCGCCCCCACACCCCACCCCCCCCCCCCACCGGCCCCCCCCCCCCCCCCCCCAACCACCCAACCCCCTCCCCCCCCCCCACCCCCCTACCCTCCCCCTCCCCCACCGCCCCCACCCGCCCCCCCTCCCCCCCCCCCCCACCCCCCCCCCACTCCCCCCCTTCCCCCCAACCTACCCAACCAAAACCCCGCAGCCCCCCTCCACCCTCGCCCCCCCATCCTCTTGCCCTCTCCTCCCCCCCCCCCCCCTACCTCGCCCCCCCCCCCACCCCCCCAAACACCCCCCCCCCCCCTCCCCCCATCCCCCCCTCTCTCCCCCTCCCCCCCTTCCCCCACCCCCCTCCCCCCGCCCCCCCCCTCTCCCCCCCCACCGCCCTCCTCCCCCAACCCCTCCCCCCACACTTCTTCCCTCACAGCTCCGCCCCCCTCCGCGCCCCCCCACTGCCACCACCCACTCCCCCCGGCCTCCCTCCCCCGCTCTCCCCCCCCCCCCCCCCCCTCCCCCCCGCCCCTCCCCCTCCCTCCGCACCCCCTACCTCACCCCCCCTCCGCCCTCTCCCTCCCCCGCTACTCCCCTTCCCTCACTCATGCCTCAAACTGTCTCCAATAAGTTCCCCCTCGCCCCCGCCCACCCAGCGCGGGGCCCCGCCCTTCCCCGGCTCCCCCCGCGTCCTTCGCAGTGCCTTCCCCCCCCCAACCCCCGCCCGCTTCCTGTCTCTCGCTACCCCCCCTCTGCCCCCCCGCCCTCCCCCTTTCTCCCTGCCTGCCCCTCCCCCCCGCCCCCTCCCCTCACCCCACCCCCGCCACCCCCCCCCCTCCCCCCCACGCCACCACTCCCTCGATCCCGGCCGCCCCCGCCCCCCCCTGCCCCCACCCTCCCCCCTTCCTCCCGCCTGTCCTCCCCACCCCCTGCCTTGCGCGCCTCCACCTCGACAGCACCCCTTTCCCGCGCTCCCGCTCGCCCCCCTCGTGTCCCGCCCTTCCCCCACGTCCCCTCGTTCCCCCCGCCGTTCTACCCCTTACCCCCTCCGCCCCCCTCCCCCCCCGCCGTTCCCCTCCCCTTCCCTGCGCCCACCGCTCACCCCGCCCCCCCGCACTCGCTCCCTCCCTGCTATTCCTCCTCCTCCCCCCCCCCTTCCTCCCTCCTCGCGTTCTCCCCCCCTGCACCCCGCCCTCCCTCCCTTATTTCATTCCTCTCGAGCCCACCCCGCGCCGCCCCCCCCCTTTCTCCGTCCTTCCCCGCCCGCGCGCCCTCCCTGCCCCCCCTCCGCCATCCCTCCCATCCCCCCTCCTCCCCACCCCCCCCCCGCCCTCCCCTCCGTCCGTCGGCTTCCCCTTTTCCCCTGCTCCCCTCCCCTGCCTCCCTTCCTTCCTCCCCCTCTCCGTCTTCCTCTCGCTCCTACCACTCCGCCCTCCTGCCCTTTTCTCCGCGCTTCTCGCACCCCCACCCCCCCTCCTGTCCCCTCTCAGCCCCCTCTCTCATTCTCGACCCGGCCCTCTCTCGCCGCACCTCCGTCCCTTTGCTGCCACCGGTCCCCCACGCTATTCCCCCGCCCCCCCTCCCCCCCTCTCGCCCCCCTTGCCCCTCCCCTGCCCTTTGGCTCCCGGCGCCCTACCTCGTCCCCCCCCTTTCCCCTGGCGTCCCACTTGCTCCTCATCTCCCTTCTACCTCTCCCTTTCACGCTGTTCTCTCCGTGTTCTCCCTTCCTCCTCCCTGCCTCCCTCGCTCCCTCTTCTCCTTCCTTCCCCCCTCCTTTCCCCCCCTTCCCTCCCCCCCCCCCCTCCCCCCCTTCCCCTTCCCTCCCCCTCTCCCCTCCCCTCCTCCCCCCCCCCCCCCCCCCCTCCCCCCCCCCCCCCCCCCCCCTTCCCCCTTTTCCCCCCCCCACCGCCCCTCACCCCCCCCCCACCCCCCCGCCCTCCCCCCCCACCTCACCCCCCACCCCACCACCCTCCCCCCCCCCCCCACACACCCCGCCCCACCCCCCCCCACCCCTCCCCCCACCCCCCACCCACCCCCCCCCCCCTCACCCTCCCCCCCTCCCCCGCCCCCTCTCTCCCCCTGCCCCGCACCCCCCCGCGCCACCCCCCTCCCCCACACCCCCCCCCCCACCCCCACCCAGCCAGCCAACCCCCACCCCCCTTCCCCAGATAACCTTCTCCCACTTCCCCCCCCTCCCCCCCCCCCCCCTTCCTCCCGCCCCCTCCCCCCCGCCCACCCACACCTACCCGTCTCCCCCTCCCCTCCCCCCCCCACCCCCCCCCCCCCCCCCCCCCCCCACCCCCGACCCACCACCCCCCGCCCCCCCCCACCCCTCCCCACCCCCCCCCCCCGCTCCCGCTCCCCCCCCCCCCCCTCACCCTTGCGTGCACCCCACCCACCTCCTCCCCCGCGCCCAACACCCGCGCCTTCCCCCCCCTCCCGCCCACCCCCCCCCCTACACCCGCCCTCCTACACCTACCCCTCTCCGGTCCCACTCCCCTCCCCCCCTCCCCGTCCCCCCCCCCATCTCGCCCCCGCCGTCCTATCGCTGCCGCCGCCGCTCCTCCCCTCTCGCCACCCCTCATCCCTCTCCCCCCGCCTTTCCCTTCTTCCCCTCTCCCCCCCCCCCCCATACCCCCCCCCACTTCCCCTCACTACTCCCCTCTCGCGTACCCCCTCCTCTCTCCGCCCCTCCTCCCCCCTCCCCCCCCATCCGCCCGTCCCACCGCCGCTCCTCCCCCTTGTCTCTCCTGGCTCTTTCTCCTACTCCCTCCCCCTCTTCCCCGCGTCCCCTTCCTCTTCCCCCGCTGCCCGCCCCCCCCCCCTCCCCCTCTCGCACGCTCCTCCCTGTCTCCCCCACCTTGCTCTCCCCGCACGTTCCGCCATCCCCATTGGTCTCTTCCCCTCCCCTCCCCCCTTTGCCATTCGCCCCTGTCTCCGCCCTTCCCCTGGTCCGTTTGCCCCTCGCCGTTCTTCCCCTCCACCCTCCACTCCCCCTTCCCCTGCCCCCCTTCTCTACCTCTCCCTCTGCCCGTGCTCCCCTCCTCTCGCTCCTCGTCTCCCCCCCCCCCTCCCTCCCCTCTCCCCCCGCCCCCCTACCTACCTTCTCCCCGCCTCCCCTCCTCCCCCCCCCCTCACACGCTCAGCCAGCCCCCCCCTCCCGCTCCCCTCCCCACCCCCCCCGCTTCCCCCCCCTGCCCCTGCCCTCACCCCTCAGTCTTTCCCCCCTCCCAGCTCCCGCCTCTCCTCCCCCCCGTCACCCCCCCGCCAACCCCCCCCCGAACCCCCCCCCCCCCCCCCCCTCCCCCCCCCCCCACCCCCCCAGCCCCCCCCCCCCCCCCCCACCCCCCCCCCCCCCCCCACCCCCAGCCTCCCCCCCTTTACTCTAACCTGTACCTCTCTAATACTCTCCTCCTTATTCTATCTTTTATAACTATCATTCCTTAAAGTAGGATTACTGTACCTTATATACTCCCCCTTTTAAAGCGCATTATTGGCCATCACCTTTTAGTTTGGGCGCCGGTGTAGAATCATTTTAGAATTTTTGAAAATAAGGAAATCGAAGAAATTCCCAGTGCCCTCGCTGGGACTCGAATCCTGACCTCTTGAACAAACGCCGATTGTGCTACCATTACACTACGAATGCATGCCAAAAGAAGGGAGAAAGTACCTTATATACTCCCCCTTTTTAAAGGGCAACTGGGCATTAGAGGGCCCGGTCGCCAGATCCTGGTGGTGACGAATTATCGTTCATCACCTTTTGGTTTGGGCGCTACTGTAGATTTATTACACTATTTTGAGACAGGATAAGTGAAAATGCACATTGCCCTCGTCGGGACTCGATTCCTGGACCTCTCGAATACGCACCGAGTGTGCTACCGTTACACCAAGAACGCATGCTGGAAGAAGGGAGAATGTACCTCATAAAGTTATTATTTTTTTAAGATTAATTTTATTATATTTAAGGTTCCAGTTTTACATTATTTTTTATTTTTATTTTCATTTTGAAATATTTCAAGAAATTACTATCAATCTGGATATAAATCAGAAACGTGGCTCTGTTGAAAACTCTTGGGCTGCTTGAAAAACACCAAGGAATTTTCAACAATTATTTATGTTATACATTTTGTATAAATTTGTTCTGCTTTTTTTTTTTTTTTTTTAATTTGGTTGAATAGTTTTTAAAAATATTTAAGAAAGAGAAACCCTTAAATTTTATAACAAAGTAAGATGCCAATTGGTAGGAAAAAGTTTTAATACATTTTTGAAGAATTAGAAAAATTAAATAAATATGCAAATTAATTATTCATTTTGTAATGCTTCAAATTGACTCTTCAAGGGGTAATTGTTTAAAAAATTAAAATCTGATAAAACCTTTCTGTCATACAAATTTTTCTACCACATTGATATTTCCGAACTATATTTCACTTCCAAGTGTTGCTCGGAATTATTTCATAAATGTTAAATATAATGTTAACAAGGAACTAAAAACATGTTAATAATATGCCGTATAACGCATAATTATAACAACGCATCTACGTATTCCCGATAACTGATTCTTATACAGTTTGACGATCAGTTGTCAAGTTGAAATAGATTCAAGCAATGTAGAATAAGATTTCAAGCAATTCAGCTTGATTCACATTTCAGAATTCCTGCTTGAAAGTACACATACGTAAGTTTTTAGTTTGCTTTATGGTCTGATGAGATACTAGTATCAATGATGTACAGATACTGCCAATAATATAAAAAAGATATTATAAATCATGAACATATCCAGCCTGATGCTAAGTTAAAAAATTCATTTATGTAAATTAATAGAACTCTTGAAGTAGTTTTCCCGTTCATAATAACATTTTTTAGTTTCATAAATGTATCAGAGGTATATATAATAACACTTCAGTGGCCCGGCTAACTTAAATAACTAAAGATACTTATAAAGAGTTTGTTACGTATGGAATACTGAAGTTTATGTTCTCTGGTCTGTAATTCTTCGTAAGGCAATGAACGTAAAGCACACTTAAAAATATTATGATTTGCATCAAAGTGTATATCTGCATTACATAGCTAATCTAGGTTACTTTATACATATATAAAAACAAATATTGAAATACTATACGAAATACTTTTAGGTTCGGTAAATTTAAACTAACTTAACTAACTAAATATTTAATGGCAAGCAGTTTTGAAAATAAGATACGTGCCTCTGTATTTGTTCACACAGATTCAGTCAATAACGGTTGATTCAGAAAGGTTATGGCTTATCAATTACGTGAGCAAAACTAGAGGTAATAAGTCATATAATGCACGAATAACCTCGATATATTTCGACACTGAAATATTTACGGAGCAAGTAGACCCGCCCACTTTATTCAGAATGAGAGAATTATTCAAATATGCTTTTTTAGTAGCTTATGATGCATAATCGTTGCTGCCAAAATTATTGTTATTGGTAAAACACGATACTACCAAGATAGCGATTTCCGTTCTAAAAGGGTCATTGATTCGAATGCGTTGCTCATGTACAGTGGACCGTTTTTAAAAAAATATCGCAACAAAAGAAACTTTTTCAGCGAAGCATGCACGACAAAGCAAAAATTGGGGGTTGAAAAAAAAACGAACAAAATTTCATTGTCTTTCGAAGTTCCCTCAGTTCTTGAAGTCAACGATAGGGAGATTCGCTTCAATGCTACCGGGGATATGGTCCATAGATTTCACTAACGGTAATCTAAGGATAAAGAGTTCCTATTTTATGTAATCAAACACTCACTTTAGTTTACGATGGTCTTCCTCACAAAATTTTGCTTTATTGGGAATTGCTTTTATTGGGAGGAGCAGGAAAAGATTATTGACCTCAAACTTATTTAATAATGTGATTTAGCAAATTGCTAATTTTCTAGCGAAATCTAGAACCACTGTTGCGCAGCAGGAAATCCATACTCATAGATCATCATACATAGATATATTTTCTATTGTTTTATGTACTTGTGTTACATATTCCTTTAAAGAAAATGCTTTTATATACGAATATTCAAGTAAAAAATAAATATTCTTACCATTTTTCTATTTGCGAAATTGATGGTAAAGAAAATGTTTAAAAACTAAACAACTAGTTTCAAACATAAGTGCGCTTCATGATACAATAAATGCCGTCTTCATACCGTCTTTGCTGTTATTCACTAATCACTGAATAATGCTAGTTCGACATGGGTTTCACATCCCTGCGAACGGGCTGACTGCGTGAAGTTTTCTGGGTTTTCCCTCTTGCGTAACGAGAATATTAGTTCATCTTAAAACTCTTTCTTTGAAAACATCTCTGCGCTTAAGACAGATCACCGTTTTGTACTTAGTTACAATCTAAGTAATCCAATGCCTATTGTATACTTTT